CGCGTTCACCTTAAGGATGGAAGCTTTAAACATGACAATAAGTGGTACCCTTATTAAACTGATTAAAGAAGCGTAAGCTGATAACGTTCTTCTCAACAAGATTCGTTAAGAGGAAACGAACGTCTTATTTATTTGAAATTTTCAATAAGTGTTGCTTCAATGAGTTCGTGGTTTACATGGATCATAAAGTAATGGTAAATGTATGGAAAACTAAAGCCAATATAAACGTTGACCTCAAGAAACCCGATATCTTGAATCGACATCACAGTTCACCAGTATTATATGGTATTCAAAGCAAGGATAATCAGGCAGCTAAAACATTGCTTTCTATTAGCAATGAATATAATTCGACAATTTGCCGTTCTATATCAGAATTTAAAAGACAACTAGAAGAAGGGCAAAATCTAGAATATATACTTCCAAGAACGAACTTCTTTACAGATTTTTAATGTCTTACCTCACATTTTTTACCAGATGTGATTCTCATATGGGAGGAAGGTAGGTGAACAAGTCACATCGGACAATTCATAGTGATTAGGTAAGTTAAATCCAGACAAAGGAGAACATATTATGAAAGTGCGTGACATCAGTAGATCATTATTGAGCACCAGAGACACAACATTTGATTTTAAATGTATCATTGTCGAGTAATAAACGTACACCACTTTCTGTCAGTCAGTCAGCTACAACGTAGGACCAGGCACATATATGCATGGGTCAAAGTTGCCATACCTCAATAACACAACAAGATGGACACTGGATTCATATAAGTGGTTAATTCAATGGTGGTAATATATAAAAGAAAGATTGCATATAGAGATATATTACAAGAAGAAAGAATTGGTTCGTAGAAAGAAAGATATGAAGTGATTTTAATCTCTTGATTTAAGGGAAGACAGGGAGTGTATACACCGACGCCATTGTGATCGATTCTGAGCCATGTCACCAAGAGTCTCCAACCATTGGTTACGATAGTCACGCGGACCCCAATCAAGTAGTCTGCATCTACCAACATGGCTAAGGCTAAAAGTTAGTGACTTCAAGCACTGATGCCACGTTTTGGTTTGGCCGCCCCTAACTTTCTTCCAACCATCTCCAATACCGGATAGCATTGCACGTCGTGGTAATCGGTGTTCAGGCATACGTAACACGTGGCCCAACCATCTCAGTCGATGAAGATTCATAACCTCATCAACTGATTTACCATCATTTCCTAATACCCTGCGTCTGACCTCACTATTACTTACCCGGTGATCCCAGCAGACGCCAGCAATATTTCTAAGGCATCTGTGGTCAAATACTAATAGCTTATGAGTGTCTTCTACTCTTAATGGCCATGTAAAACAGAACGGACTGCCGCGTAGTATACTCGTCCTTTTATTGATAGACGGATATCTCGCCTTCGCCATAGGTGACGCAAGTTGGCAAAAGCCAAACGAGCTTTTCGAATCCGTGCGTAGATTTCGTCCGATACGAACCCATTAGGGCTGATCAGACTTCCAAGATAAGTGAAGTTGTCGACGTGTTCGACTACTTCACTCCCTATCCTTAGTTCAGGTGTTGACGCAGCCCAGTCCAGGAGCAACAACTTGCATTTCGAGGGAGAGAAGCGCATTCCAAACATTCTGGTATTGTTGCTTAGTGCTACCAGAAGACTGCATTTTGTCAGCGTCTTCACCAAACAGGACTATGTCATCTGCGTATTCTAAGTCGATAAGTGGACCTTCTGGAAGGGGATCAATACCCGAGAATTCAGTCGACGAGAATGTTGTTTCCATCAGTAGGTCTATGATGAAGTTAAACAAAAATGGGGAAAGTGGACAGCCTTGACGGACACCACTTGAGGTTGCAAAAGTAGATGACAGTTCGCCATAAGCTCTAACTCGACTAGTAGTGTTTGAGTAAAGAGTCTTCACAAGGTTTTTGTACTTCTGGGGTACGCCTTTCAATGACAGACACTGCCACAGAATCTCGCTGTCTACAGAGTCAAATGCTGCTTTCAAGTCAAGAAAGACCACCATTGTCGGACGTCGATAAGTATGTCTGTGTTCTAGAACCTGACGAACGGTGAATATGTGGCCGATGCAGCCACGACCAGGTCTGAAGCCAGCTTGGTTCTCTCGTATTTGCAGTTCACGGGTTCACTTTCTACAGTTGCTTAACCAGCATGTTTTAAGATTAATCGGAGCAAAACTCCAATAAAAGTTGATTGTAGAGGCAAGATATTGTAGAAGTCAAAGTTAGGTAGCTAAGAGTTCACAGATATCCTAAAATACTTATTTACCTCTCCTATTTACTGACGAAATGCTAGTTTAATATCCTCCGCTTGCTACTCCTATTGTGTAACACAAAACTTGACCATAACCTTAGTCTCTTCACAACGTTAAAGAAAGACAGGTTAGTAAAAGTCTAACAAATCGTCATGTCACTTCCTTATAAACCGTTGAGACGAAACTGGTTGTATTGTGACTTTCGATTTGTAAACAAAGACTAGGATTCTGGAGGTGTTCTTTTACCTCTTGAAAAAACGAGGAAAATAAGCCAATAAGAAGTAATTAAAAAAACCCATTTTGTCATTGAATAAAAATAACGAGAAATCAGCGAGGAAAATTACCTTTTCGATTAAATTATTCACTCAGACCGAACACTTTTTTATAATTGTATGGTACATACATGTCCAAACAAATGTTGAGAAGATTGCATCAAAGTGATTCAAGATTTGAATAGGAAATAAGCGAACAGTAATAGCTCGTAAAATGTGAGATAAATCAGCCCAAACAATGCAATAGGGAAAACGTTTTACAACCAAATACATAGCTATCGCTCTTACGAAGAATGTTCCTACGTTTGAATAAATTACGATATCACCTTAAACCAGCGAACAAAACGAAATTCAGCAACATTACAACATGACAAGCAACACTATTCCCGTATCCTAGCCCTGCTAACTAGAGGGAGAAGACCAGATTCAACCGAAGGAAATGTATATTTCACAAGCAATCGGAAGCACAAACGAACAAGTACATAACTCATAAGTATATATACAGCAAAAATATACCCTTGGAAGACGTCACGAAATAGCGTATAAAAAGAGGAGAGGAACAAACAAAATTTAGGGTCCTTCCAAGAGGAAAATACAAATTGGGAGTAAAAATGGGTGCTTTTCGTGCAAAAACGAGAAATTCAAATTTCCAAAATAAAAGTACGAAAATAGGATGTTTATCAAGTGACTTATGAGTATCTAGCGTCACCCAAAAATGTAGAGGAAAACTACAGAATAACAATCACTGACTCATGTCTGTTTGTGTCTTAAGCCACTAAGCTACACCACATAAAGGATTCAACCGGGGAGTTATGGCGAACCATCAGTCCTACTTATCTCATGTCGGTCCTACATGAGTTCTTTGCATCTACGTGCAAAGTGTATGTGGGCTGATTAGGTGTAACCTCCATATTTTTAGTAGCGCTACACAGTGAGACAATCCCATCCACACACCTTAGATCGAAAAGTCTCACCTGTACAGATCCACACAACTGCTACCTACTTACATAAGAGCTATCTCCAAAATGACGTTCGAATTGGAGTAATGAGATTAAACAATCGTCTCCAAACTCATTGCTCCAGTGGGGCTTCTATTTTCTCACCCTAACTGAAGTTTTTTATGCAGAACCTTCAAGATTTTAACAAAATTCAAAAGCATAGCTTTCTCCAAAAGACAACAGGTAACAGTTCGGTTCAACAGATCGTAGACGACCTTGATATCAAGAAACAATGAATGTAATAAATGCAACGGCACTCTAGCACTTGACAGAGAGTGAAGGTACGAATAATACATTGATATACTGAAAGAGATCAAGCCTGCTGCTAGGGAGTTGACGTTTTATGGGTTTCGAGCAATCCACGAATTATGACGGAAATCAATAGTATAGACAAAATTAAAAACAAAGTGATCACGCGATAGCTGTTACACAGGTGGCGAAGCCTCATCTTAAAGATGTGGATGATGATCACATCATTTCAGAACGTTGGGACACTTTCTCGCATCTTTTCAAACCCAGTTGTTTCTCTGACCAGAAGTTCTCCACCGACTTTAAAATGAGCTGTCGGCAGTTCATCTGGACTTAGCACCCTGTGGCACTTCCAAAGATGGGGTTCCCCGCCGACTTCTGTCTCGTTAGATGAATCCATTGTCGTGAGCCGTGGAGGACAGTGCAGTTTGATGGATGTTGCCGGAGAAGTAAACAGGCTGAAATGTTTCTCGAAGAACTGTGCCCAGCATCTAAGTTGTCGTTTAATATTAATGATCGGCGCCCCATCAACTTCACACCGGACTTCTCAGTGCTTGTAGCTTGGATGAAATGAAACGGATGCTGGAAGTTGCAAAATGTAGCTGCTGCTTTCAACTCGTTAGCACGGTTTGACCGCCGTATTTCTGTTTTTAGGTTAACTTTGGATAACAAAAAGGACTAGTGATTATATAAACACAATATAAACCATTAAGAGAGTCAAAGCATAGACATCATCATTTAACAAAGTAACCTCTCTAAACCTAATGTCTATTAACATTCCAAAAGATAGATAACTAGAAATAAAAAACTGTCAAAGTATGTGCATTAATAAACACAGACTAGAATGTATCCCCTGATACTAGATAACCGTCAATTCCATTCATTACAAACAACGATTGCAATGGCTAAATGTCAGGAAATTTTAACTAAGAAAAATTTGGTCTGTTCCTCAATGTGAGCGACCAGTGACCCTAATACGAGAAAACATTCGAAGCAGTGGGAATATGAAGTTTTTCGTTCAGAAAGTTAGACCTATCTACTAGGATTCATATCTCTAGAAATACATTCTCCTGTGTTAGAAATTTTAGTCATAATATGAGTTGGTCAACAGACTTCACCAAGTGACTTTTATTGTACACGCACTGAGATGCTTAGTCTATCGACAACTGATGAAGAGTTTATATAAGTACTGTTTCATTATTTTTGGAAACGCACATACCATTTTGCACTTTACATAATGACAAAACAATCTCACACTAACTTAAACAGAGTACATCAGTGCTCTGATTTACAAGATGCTTTGAAGTCAACAGATGTGTCCCGAATATTATTCAACAAAAGTATTGTTATATCAGTTGTAAACTGCATTAATATACTTTAAAGTACGGTCACATAGAAAAAGGTTGAGTTAACTTTAACTTTATGCTGTTTCAATCTTATCAAGTGATACATTTAATAGGCTTGAATATGCGATGTCTCAAATACATAGTATGTAATTAATAAAAAGCTTTAACATTTGAACCCCACTGAGCAGACTATTACGATCTCAACAAAGATGACCAAAGAAGTAAATATTACAAAACTGTGTGTTGACAAACTGCAGATAAAATCACTGGTATATTTTCCTATAGAAAAGTACTCTGAATATCTGTTTCTTAAAACAGAGGAGAAATCTAGTATATGGGGAAAAGTATTGTGCAGAAACTGTACTGAACTCATACATGAGCGTATGTTTATGTACTTGTAGATTTGATATGGTCTTAGATACTATTCGCTTTTTCTGAAGATATATGTAATATACAAAATAGGACTGGTCGAAAATTTAAATATAGAGTTTGCATAAGTAAAATACAGAGGACATATCACTAGGTGAAGGGAAAGAAGCAAAATAGTTAGATAAGTTGAATTGTTCTACGGTAGGAATGTGATTTGATTTAGTTGAATTGTCTAATGAATAAAAAGCTGGATATATATATGGACCACAGGATGTAGAATACATTTTCAAACTCCGTTGTTTATCTGTTGTGATCTGACTATTATTTCTAATTGATGGAGAATGTTTCATACAGAATTCTAATAAAATAGAGTTCAATGAAAACGATTGACAAGGAGTTTGAACAGGTGGTATATAATTTGTAGTATGATCACATGTCGTCGGATGATCGTTTGACAGACAAATGCAAGCAGTTTGTTCTTTTCCCACAAGACCAGAGTAAGTTTGATCGTCGGGAAGGGAAGTAATAACTATATCAAATGGTTTGACAATCTTATCAACTACGTGGAACCAATACTTAACATTACCCAGTGTCCAAAATATAACGTCATCATTATGATTACCATAGTTACTGATGTCATCGTTACGTTGTAATGATAATTCTCCAAAACCATAAGAAGTAGGAGTGGGTAAATGACGTCGACCAGATAGACTGGGAGCAAGAATTTTCTTAATTGTCAGTTGATTCAAAGGATATAAAGCAGTCGAATCCTTGAACGGAGGTAGTAACTTAAAAAAATAAGACTATAATTATTCAAAGATACCAGCGTACATAAAAACCGCATATAAAGAAATACAATACCATCAATTTGCTTAACTATAAAATCAATATATAAATTAATAATTATGACCTGGTGAAAGAAAACTCAAGTCATATTAACAACTGTATGAATATTAGGTTATTAAGATTTACAACAAAAACAAAAGACGAAAATACTATAATAATATCAAACGATAACACTTTCAAAGTCAAGCAAACTAGAGGTCAGTGACAGGTAGTAAACTTTAGTATTAATTTCACTTCATCACAGTTTAGAGACAGTTTACAATAAATAACATGAGAACAAAAATTATTGTTAATAATAATTCCAACCATGTAGAAAAACCGATTCTATAGTGCAATATAAGAACCTTAAATTTTGAGTGCAACATAAATAAACAGAAGACATCACAATAGAAAGCGATCTGTAGGAAAAAACTTTTATTCGATAAGCAATGTTTCATAATAAAATAAAATCAGCTGGAAGGTCAACAAAAGCAACCATTTGAATTAGACGGTTCTAGTTTAATTTTAATTTGACCTTAAATGTCTGATGACATTTATTTCTCCCAATGAATACGATAACTATGGACCACTGGGTCAATATAAAATGGTTGACATTGTCAACGCCGGACAAAACTTTTAATAAAAAATGATCTTACTCTGAAAGAATACTAAATTACTTGAAATAGAAGCTTAAAAGCGCTCTGCATGAAAACTGAAGAATGTTTGAGAAATTATTAAATCAAAGATATTATAACCGATTATTACTACTATTACACCATCCGGGTTCAAAATCAGCATCATTTAGAAGATAAAACATGACTTTTTGTTACACATATTGATAATCCCGATTTCTTGCTGTTGTATACATTTTGGTACGAATGCGAATCAGTTTACAATTGTGGCGTAGACCACAAAGACATAATGTGAAACAACAATGATATAAAATACTATGTTTAACATCCATTCATGCATCTTTGGTTTTGTACAGGGGAAAAAGTTTTGGGTATTAATAGTTAAATTGATATACTGTTTAAAACGGAGACAGACATGATATTAGTAAAGAAGACAATCCCAACATTCTAAGACATTCATAGATATCAAAATAACAATGATAGAACCTTTGAAAATGTTTGAAAATATAATCGTCAAGAAGTCTAAATTCTTCAAAAAAGTATCAATTGACACATTATCTGACAGACAATACTTTGGAAATTACTCTTTTTTAAACATATTTTCTTATCTGAATAGAAACTATGGTTGTAAGCGGGTTGATATTAATCGTGACAGAAAAAAAGGAAACATTTATATTAATTTATTTGAGCTGTGTTAATGAAACATTTGTCATATAACAGCAATAGGCAAGTATTTTTGCATCAGTCAGTCAGCTACAACGTAGGACCAGGCACATATGTGCATCGGTCCAGGTTGCCATACCTCATTAGCACAGCAAGATGAACAGCGGATTCATAGGAGTGGTTAGGTCAAAGGTTGCAATAAGGATATAGTATAGGAAGAAAGAATTAGTTCGTAGAAAGAAAGAATGAAGTGATTTTAGTCTCTTAGTTTAAAAGAAGACAGGGAGTGTATACACCGACGCCATTGTGATCGATTCTGAGCCATGTCACCAAGAGTCTCCAACCATTGGTTACGAAAGTCACGCGGACCCCAACCAAGTAGTCTGCATCTACCAACATGGCTCAGACTAGAAGTTAGTGACTTCAGGCACTGATGCCACGTTTTGGTTTGGCCGCCCCTAACTTTCTTCCAACCATCCCCTACCCCGGTTAGCATTGCATGTCGTGGTAATCGGTGTTCAGGCATACGTAATACGTGGCCCAACCATCTCAGTCGATGAAGATTCATAACCTCTTCAACTGATTTACCATCATTTCCTAATACCCTGCGTCTAACCTCACTATTACTTACCCGGTGATCCCAGCAGATGCCATCAATATTTCTAAGGCATCTGTGGTCAAATACTAGTAACTTACGGGTGTCTTCTACTCTTAAGGGCCATGTTTCGCTGCCGTAAAGTAAAACAGAACGAACTGCCGCGCAGTATACTCGCCCTTTTATTGATAGACGGATATCTCGCCTTCGCCAAAGATGACGTATTTTTGCATAGAAAAAATTTGATTTTATACAAGTGAACTATTAATTTTTAAGCCGTATAGCAAGGTAAGAAAAAATCGCATCTAAAAGTGAAGTAAAGGATTTTATCTGAGCCAATAATTTTAAAATAAGTATGTCTAATTATTTTAAAGACTATGGTTGTCATCAAGAGCTCAAAAATGGTAGATATACCATATTAGCTGACGAAAAGCAGAAAAAGTTTTCGGTAGAGTTATGTCCCCTGAACTGAGTAAAGCTTTCATCGTAACTCTAAATAACTTCACCAGTTAAAATTTCAGATATTAGTGAACTATTTGAATGTCTCCACGTACAACTAACATCTTTTTTTGTCGACCTTGAATCTGATTAGTTATCATTAATACATGCCCTGCTATTCTCAGCAAACTCAAATTTATTTTCTTTGTTTTCGACCTGGTTCTTGACCTAAGTGTTGCTGATTATTCCTCTAACTGGTTCTTAAAAATATATCACCGTCGATGTTTATTAATAACTGATTACTGATCCAAGCGTCAAGCTCCTAAAAATTCCTTGATCTTCTTTGTATTCTTTGTGTCCACGATTAAGGAGTTTTTCCAGTCGAATGTGTCTGCAGTTATTTCCATGTACCGAAACTTTGTAGTATATTACAGCAATACAGTGTTTGTATCGGAGTTAACAAGAAGAAGGTGGCCACTTAGATTCATATAATGCTTTTCAAAATTGGGGTAATTCAATTTTTAGATTATGTCAAACTTTATTGTTTTGGCATTTCATCTTTTGGTCTGGATAGGATTAACCAAAATATCGAAACTGATCAAATCTATTAACCAGTCAGAGAAATGATAAACAACAATTAGGTCAAGAAACAGAGAATAACAGGACAAGTGTTAACAATAACCAGTCGAATTCAAGGTCTACAGAACAAGATGTTAGTATTATATAGAGAAATTCGAGTAGCCCACTAATATCTGAAGTGCTGTTGTTATCTAGAAAAACGATGAAAGTTTCACGAATAAACTACTCAGTTCAGGGAACACAGCTCCACAAAAATCATTCTCCCAAGCTACAAATTTCACAATCATCTCACAGAAAAAATTATCCGTGGCTCTTAGAATAATTAAGTATTTAGTGAACTTTAATGATAAAAGATCAACAAATACCTAGAAAGACTGAACGGTGTTATCAGGTCATGTATAGATTATTAAAAGTCATTTCATACATTGTGGATACAACATAAGATGCAATTTTCAAAGAAATTATTATTTGAAGATCATTAGCAAACCATATCATTATTAACGGAAGAATCGATGCTCCATGATAAAATTGGGACTCACACTATACCACGTCACACTCACAGACCTTACTATTGATAGTCATACTGATTGACTACTGAGAAGTAACCAATATCATGTTATCTGGAGCCGATCGAGTGGTATCAATCAAGGTGCAATGTGACGCACTAATGACCACTTGCATTTATTTGAAATATAAACCGTCTTGAAGTTTAACATCTAAGCATATTCAAAAAAATGCCCATCCTAACAATACATGTATACGGCATATTTGCGTCATGAAATCAATATTAAATTATAAAATTTGCCCTTCTTAATACCTGTAACTCAATGGATAGTACTCATAAATATGTATTAAGCTATCGGATCGGACAGCAATATTCAGCCACCAGGCATGATCTCGATTTTTATCTTTGTTCTGTACTATGTATATTCCTTCTTATTGCTTTACTTTTCAAAGATAAATTTTTGTAAACACAATTATAAACTTGTCACGAGACTGCACTGACTTACTAACTAATTCAAAATGATTGGAAGACCTAAATTACGATAATTAATGGAAAGATTTTACTTACTAACCAAGCAGAAGTTCGGATAATTAACTTTGAGCTGTATCTCTTGCGTAACGGCTAGTGATACTATTTGATTGCTCAAACAGGAATAAGTAGGGGAGGCGCACGACGAGACTTGGTGGCTGGAATTTAAATAGTGACAATGAATCATGTAGGCATGTAATAACACGCATTATTACAAGACCCTCTAGAGATTTCACTTCAAAACGAACGTCTAACATGCTTGGTATAACGAATTAATTCAATAATAGTGGAAAAAACATTCATATGAGTAGAATGATACATATAATTTGACTCTCAACGTTGAATTAAGTTAAGTATAATGTTTCGCTGCTAGATGCCAAAATGAGAAACGGATACTAAGTGTTTAGTTGGCTAAACAGTAACATGGATTTATTCTTAAATGAAGTAAGGCAGATGGTTTTCCAAATTTAACTGGGCGACCATTTAAGTGAGAAACGAAAACCAGTGTTTGGTAATTTTTCAACGAGTTAAAAAATCAAAACTCTGAAAATAGTAATTGACCACCGAATCTTATTACATAACGTATTGTCGTAACAGTGACAACATATACGACTAGAAACTAAGACAATAATACCGGACAAGAATGTAACCACTACTCAATGTTTCCTAACTGCATGATGAATAGTTAAATTAAACTCTTGAACAGCTCCATAAACTGACTGACTTTATTCACCTGGTACACCACAATTACTACAATTTCAGGTTCTAGTGTTTAAGCTGGGTCAGACAAAATACAACAAAACAGTAACTCAGTATCCCAATAAGTGCTGTGTTCATTAGAAAAAACACCGCAAAAAAGCAGTAGTAAAATACATGTAGTTATGTAACCAACCTGCGTGAGTTTTATGGCATTAATTTTACCGGAATCAGACAAATAGAAAGTAGCTCGAAAATTACGCCACCTAAATAAATGAAACACAGGAAAAGACTATTAGTGGATTTGTACAGCATTAACATACGAAATGTATTCGAAATGGGAATTGGAGATAAACGAAAAATTAGTACAGAGACAATGTTTTTATTATAAAAATATAGATAAAGACCGATTAAAAAACAAAGGTAAATAAGATATAAGATTGGTTTTAGCCTAAAACTTTACTATCGACACATGTTTCGGGTCTTAGAGTGGTAACTTAGTGTTTAAGGTATTTAGTTTTCAAACAAATAAATCTCAGGTTTGAATTCAAGACCACCTACTTTGATATAGATGATTAACAAGTAGTACTAGACTTCAAATTAACAACGTGGGTCAAAGCTGAGTACATGAACCCGTTCTTGCCAAATGGGTTACGGCATCATCACCCTACCGTAAGAGAAGATGGACAAAGTGACTTAAAAATCATAGAGCTTATCATCCGTAATGACTGTTTATAAGCTAAGATAATGACAAAACAGTGTATAACAAAATTCAGGTAGAAATAATTTGAAAATTGTAAGCAGACATCCAAGTTGAAAAATGTGGATACAAAGCATACAGAGTTAAATTACCTATTCAAATTCAGCTAGTGGTATTATTTTACGGTCGACGTACATTTGAGGAAAAACACACTTGATGAACATCATTCGTTTGTGATGTCATTTTATCTAAATTACTTTGTGATTACTTTGATTGAGACCATGAATCCACCATTTTACCAATTAGAATATTAACAAAGAAAATAATTAAAAAACGTGTACTATTTATTCCCGATCGAAGCTGCTACCTTGACGCGGTGGTCGGGCTTGCCTATCGTGATGACCCAATCGAGCTATATTGGCTGGAACATATGTTCCTGCAGGTTCTACCATGCCAGGCAGGTCGATTGGAGAACGGTAAGACTAAAAGCAGAAACTCAAGGTCTGAGGGCGAAGTCGTACTGCTGACTGTACAGAGGTGTGACAGCAGTAAGGTGTTTCCTTCAGACAACCAGCATGACAGCGATGCTGCCTTCCCACAAGGAGGGGTGGGGTTAGAAAAGGTCGACCCTAAAAATGCACACCTCACCTTACCTCACGGATTTCCGTCTCCGGCGGTAAGGCCCCTTGAAGAACGGAGCTAACACGTCAAAAACCTTCCACAAAAAGGCCGTGCGCGACCGGCCTCAAGCAGTTGTCCCTTGGGCTCTGCGGTCACGCTCCTAGGTCGTCAAGACCAACACTAATCCAATTTCCTTTTCAGGTTCCTCAAGAAATACCCTTCCACGGTGTGGGCAGCCGGGAAGTGACATCAGCCCTCATACCCGTAACAGCACAAGAGACCAAGGTGGTCACATTCAAATCCTTCCTACACCTCCTAATACCTCTCTTATTTTCCCGACTAACCCTCCTCACGTCTCTTTATCACCTCGCACCGCTAGGGCAAACGATTCGAGTACGTGGAACGCCATTCCTGGTCTCCTGAAACCACGCTCTAAACTACACATAGGAGCTCTTGACGTCCGAACACTTTGCCAAATAGGACAGCAGGCTTCCTTAGCTAAAACTTTAGAATCTCGCGCCATCGATGTGTGCTGCGTCTCCGAAACGCGCATACAGGATCCAAGTAGCGTCATTCATCTGACCTCACCATGCCAAAATAAAGAACCGACTCGATTTACGCTTCGTGTATCTGGAAGCCCTGATTCTGCTTCCCGTGGCCTCGCTGGCGTAGGTATAGCATTGAGTCCTAGGGCAGAACTAGCTCTCTTAGAGTGGATCCCAGTAGACAGTCGTTTGTGCGCTGTCCGACTGAACGGAACGGTAAGAATCCGGAAAGATAGGGACACTCGTCGTTGCCTCTTCATCGTCTCTGCCTATTCTCCCACTGACTGCAGATCAGATGATGTAAAAGATGAGTTTTACAGAAAGCTTTCGGACCTTCTCCGAAAAGCTAAGCGCTCGGATGTAGTAATAGTGGCCGGTGACTTTAATGCTCAAGTAGGTAAACTAAGTGATAAGGAATGACACCTAGGTGGATCTTATGGTGTCGTGGCTCAAAGAACAGATAATGGCGACCGTCTGTTGCAGCTATGCTCAGATAACCGCCTGTTCCTTGCAAATACTAACTTTAAGCATAAGGAAAAACATCTTTTAACATGGCGACCCCCTAATTCGTCCCAACGTTGGACCCAAATAGATCACATCGCTATCAGCCACCGATGGAGGGGCTCGATAGAAGACTGTCGCTCATTCTGGAGCACATGCCTAGATTCAGATCATGCTCTAGTGCGAGCGCGTATTTGCTTGCGTCTTACTGAACGTAGGAAAGACGCTGCAAGGAAACCTCTTAGGGGCCTACTTAATGACAGTCAAGCTAAGAATATATTTCAGGAACAACTAGGAAAACAGTTAGGCAGCCATGTATGTGATGCCCACACCGATGCAGCATGGAATGATATCCGAAAAGCTGTGGAAACAGCAGTGATATCTGCTAGTAAGGTAAACCAGAAGGTTAGGGAGCAACACTGGATCTCAGCAGCATCTATCTCACTGATAAATGCTCGGAAACTCATTCCACCTGGCTCTGAACATAATGAAGAGCGAAGTCAACTTAAGCGCAAGCTGACAAGAAGTCTACGCAATGATCGCGAACAGTGGTGGGTAGCGAAAGCAAGAGAGATGGAAAAGGCAGCGGCAATAGGTAATAGCAGACAATTGTTCAGACTCGTTAAGGAAACCGGAATTACGAACCCGACCGTTAGCGAAACAATCTCAGAGAAAGATGGACATATTATTCATTCTCAATCCAGGAGATTGGATCGATGGGCAGAACACTTTAGGGATCAGTTCAACTGGCCTTCAGCCACACTCCGGTTTCCCACGATCTCCAGTCAACCTGAGTGGCAAGTTAATGTAGGTCCTCCGTCCCTTTACGAAGTTGAAAAAGCCATAGGAAATCTGAAACGAGGGAGAGCAGCAGGCCCTGACAGGTTTACTCCTGAGACTTTTAAGAATGGTGGTCCAGAATTAGCAGTGAGATTAACTGAGGTCTTAGGTAGAATTTGGGAACTGGACGTAATCCCATCTGATTGGTCTCAATCACTGATTGTTCCAGTCTATAAGAAAGGACAAAAGTCCTCTTGTGACAATCACAGAGGAATCAGTTTGACTAATATAGTGTCTAAAATATTAGCCTCAATAATACTTCGACGCCTAACTAAAGCTCGTGAAGAGCAGACTTGAGAAAACCAGGCTGGTTTTCGACCTGGACGTGGTTGTATAGACCAGAAATTCACACTACGTCAGGTTCTAGAACACAGACACACATTCAGACGCCCCACAATGGTAGTATTTCTCGACCTTAAGGCGGCATTCGACTCTGTTGATCGTGAGGTTCTATGGCAGTCTTTGTCACTGAAAGGAGTACCAAAGAAGTACATTAACCTTATAAAGGCTCTCTACTCGAACACAAACTCTGCCTGGAGTCACTCCGGGGGCTACTGCCGGTCCCAAACCCGGATAAAGGAGGAGGGTTGGGCATGGGGTTAGCGTCCTCATCCCGTAGAAAACTAACTCGCTAAAAAACGCTAACCAGAAAAAATTATTCAAACCTTTTAAACTCTGCCCTGGGAGTCAGAAGGTCTTCATTTACAAGAATTATGACGCCTCATGATGAAAGCCGAATTCCTTCGGAAGTTACGAGGCCGATGCCCCTTCTGACAACCAGAGCAACCATTTATTTAGGTACATGGAATGTTCGTACAATGTGGGACACCGGAAGAGCCTTCCAAATTGCTGCAGAAATGAGAAGATACAACCTAGAGGTACTTGGGATCAGTGAAACACATTGGACACAAGTTGGACAACAACGACTAACTACAGGAGAGCTCCTGTTATACTCCGGCCATGAAGAAGAAAATGCACCACATACACAAGGAGTTGCATTGATACTGTCCAAACAAGCGCAAAATGCACTTATAGGATGGGAATCTCATGGACCAAGGATCATCAAAGCCTCGTTCAAAACAAAGAAAGAGGGCATTTCAATTAACATCATCCAATGCTATGCGCCTACCAACGACTACAATGAAGACGCTAAAGATCAATTCTACAATAGGCTGCAGTCAATCGTCGAGAAGTGCCCAACAAAGGACCTGATCATTCTGATGGGAGATTTCAACGCCAAGGTTGGAACGGACAACACTGGATATGAAGACATCATGGGACGACACGGACTGGAATAAAGTAACGAAAATGGTGAGAGATTTGTAAACCTATGTGCCTTCAATAAACTAGTCATAGGCGGCACCATATTCCCACATAAACACATTCACAAAACCACATGGACTTCACCGGATCACACTACGCAAGACCAAATTGACCATATCTGCATCAGCAAAAAGTTCAGGAGGACGGTGGAGGATGTGAGAACCAAGAGAGGAGCTGATATAGCATCAGATCATCACTTGCTGGTCGCCAAGATGAAATTGAAACTCAAGAAGCACTGGGCAATGGGGCGGACAATATCACAAAAGTTCAATACGGCCTTTCTTCAGGATACTAACAAACTCAACGAATTCAAGGTAGTCCTCAGCAACAAGTTCCAGGCCTTTCATGATGTACTCAATGGAGAAGGAACTACTGTGGAGAGCAACTGGAAGGGGATCAAAGAGGCAATCACTTCAACATGTCATGAGGTCCTGGGTCACAAGAAGCACCACCACAAGGAATGGATCATTGTTGATACACTGGATAAGATTCAAGAAAGGAGGAACAAGAAGGCAGCAATCAATACCAGCCGAACAAGAGCAGAAAAAGCTAAGGCACAAGCTGAATACACGGAAATAAACAAACAAGTGAAGAGGAACATCAAAACCGACAAACGTAAATATGTGGAAGATTTAGCAACGACGGCGGAAAAGGCTTCAAGAGAAGGAAACATGAGACAATTGTATGACACGACAAAGAAACTCTCTGGAAATCGCCGCAAACCAGAACGGCCAGTGAAAAGCAAGGAAGGCAAGGTAATCACCCACATTGAAGAGCAACAAAACAGGTGGATAGAACACTTCAAAGAACTCTTGAATCGACCAGCGCCACTGAACCCACCCAACATCGAAGCAGCACCCACGGACCTCCCAATCAATGTTGGCCCACCAAAAATTGAAGAAATCAGCATGGCCATCAGACAAATCAAGAGTGGCAAAGCAGCAGGACCGGACAACATCCCAGTAGAGGCACTAAAAGCAGACGTAGCTGCAACTGCAAGGATACTCCACATTCTCTTCAATAAGATTTAGGATGAGGAACAAGTACCAACAGACTGGAAAGAAGGACTTCTAATCAAAATACCGAAGAAAGGCGATCTCAGCAAGTGTGATAACTACAGAGGCATCACTCTTCTCTCAATACCGGGAAAAGTCTTCAACAGGGTATTGTTAAACAGGATGAAGGACTGCGTAGACGCCCAACTTCGTGACCAACAGGCAGGATTCCGTAAGGATAGATCGTGTACAGACCAAATCGCAACTCTACGGATCATTGTGGAACAATCAATTGAATGGAATTCATCACTCTACATCAACTTCATTGACTACGAAAAGGCATTTGACAGCGTGGACAGAACAACACTATGGAAACTTCTTCGACACTACGGCGTGCCTCAGAAGATAGTCAATATAATACAGAACTCATATGATGGATTAAACTGCAAAATTGTGCATGGAGGACAGTTGACAAAGTCGTTCGAAGTGAAGACCGGTGTTAGGCAAGGTTGCTTACTCTCACCCTTTCTCTTTCTCCTGGTGATCGACTGGATCATGAAGACGTCAACATCTGAAGGAAAGCGCAGGATACAATGGACATCTAAGATGCAGTTGGATGATCTAGACTTCGCAGACGATCTGGCCCTTCTATCCCACACGCAACAACAAATGCAGGAGAAGACAAACAGCGTGGCAGCAGCCTCAGCAGCAGTAGGTCTCAACATACACAAAGGGAAAAGCAGGATTCTCCGATACAACACAGCATGCACCAATCCAATCACAATTGACGGAGAAGATTTGAAAGATTTAAAAACCTTTACATATTTGGGCAGCATCATTGATGAAGATGTGAAGGCGCGGATCGGCAAAGCAAGAGCAGCATATTTACAACTGAAGAACATCTGGGACTCAAAATAACTGTCTGTCAACCAACACCAAGGTCAGGATTTTCAATACAAATGTCAAGACAGTTCTACTGTATGGGGCAGAAACCTGGAGAACTACAAAAACCATCATCCAGAAAATACAGGTGTTTATTAACAGTTGTCTACGCAAAATACTTCAAATCCATTGGCCGGACACTATTAGCAACAACGTACTGTGGGAGAGAACAAACCAGATCCCAGTGGAGGAAGAAATCAGGAAGAAGCGCTGGAAGTGGATAGGACACACATTGAGGAAAGCACCCAACTGCGTCACAAGACAAGCCCTCACATGGAATCCTGAAGGTCAAGGAAAAGAGGAAGACCAAAGAACACATTACGCCGAGAACTGGAGATAGACATGAGAAAAATGAACAAGAATTGGATGGAACTAGAAAAGAAGGCCCAGGACAGAGTGGGTTGGAGAATGCTGGTCAGCGGCCTATGCTCCATTGGGAGTAACAGGCGTAAATCAATCAATCACTCGAACACAACTGGTAGAGTGAGAGCTTATGGCGAACTGTCATCAGAATTGATCACCTCAAGTGGTGTTCGTCAGGGCTGTCCACTCTCCCCATACTTGTTCAACTTTGTCATTGACGTACTTTTAGAGATAACACTCTTCTCATCTAAATTTACAGGGGTTGAACTTCTACCAGGAGGTTCACTTGTTGACTTAGAATATGCTGATGATAGTTTTATTTGGTGAAGACGCTGACAAAATGCAGAGTTTTCTGACCACTCTAAGCTACAATGCAAGCATGTCTGGCATGCGATTCTCCCCTCGAAATGCAAAATGTTGCTTCAGAATTGGGTTGCATCGACATCCGAACTAGTGATAGGGAGTGAAGTAGTTGAGTGTGTCGACCGCTTCACTTATCTTGGAAGTCTCATCAGCCCTTGTGGTTTAGTGTGTGACGAAATCTCAGCACGGATACAGAAGGCTCGACTAGCTTTTGCCAACTTGCGTCATTTATGGCGTAGGCGAGATATCCGTCTATCAACCAAAGGACGCGTTTACTGCACAGCAGTTCGTTCCGTCCTACTTTATGGCAGTGAAACATGGCCGGTAAGAGTAGAGGATATCCGTAGGTTACTAGTATTTGATCATAGGCGTCTTCGAAACATTGCTCGTATATCATGGGACCATCGAGTAAGTAACACAGTTGTTAGGAAACGGGTACTAGGTAAGGATGGCAAATCAATTGATGACGTAGTGAAACTTCATCAGTTGAGATGGCTGGGACACGTGTTACGTATGCCCAACCACCGACTGCCTCGACGTGCTATGTTCAGTGGTATAGGAGTAGGTTGGAAGAAAGCTAGGGGCGGCCAAACCAAAACATGGCACAAGTTCATGAAGTCACTGACAAGTGAACTGAGTCATGTTGGTAGGTGTAGACTACCTGGTTGGGGACCGCGAGATGACAGCAACCGATGGTTAGAGACCCTGAATGACATGGCTCAAAATCGTTTGCAATGGCGCAGGTGCATCCACTCTCTGTGTTCTCCCAAATTCTAATTTTCTGAATTCTTCATGTCCCTTTTTTCCTCTTTCCAAATTTATTTCACTGTATTATACTCTTTAAATAACATCTCCAAACCCTAATCTTCCCGATTACTGCTTATACTCTGATTACCTCTACCACTACGGGATTTGAATCGACAACTGCATCTCTGTGCTAATTTGGTGTGGCAACTCGAACTGATGTACGTACGTTCGAAGTTCTACGTTGTTACTGACTGACTGTACTATTTATTACGATACGTTGCGCTCAAATATTTCCAAACCTATCGCATTTCCGAACGGACAGTTCATATGAACGCATAAATTACTAACCACTTCAGATAAACACTACTCCTTGTGTTGTATTTTAACTACAGATATCAACCAGAGAAAAAGCAGTTTACAGAATTTCGAACTGTTTAGTGTAATATTTTGAAAGGCTAACAAAAATATGTACTGTTTGGTTGAAACATGAGTAAAAATTAGCCTAATTTAATGTTATTTTTCATTATCAGCTAGAAAATCATTAAAAGCCGAAGAGCACTGCAAACAATTTTTTCAACTTAGTACCCCAGTAACCACGATACATCTAGACCATTACGTTTTATCCAGTGATTCGTATCTTCAACTCTAATACCAATGGTGGATAACTGCTACCATTATTGACATTGTTGAGATCTATCAGTTGTGACTTCTCACCTGAACCGCGAGAATAGATTTCGAAGCCAGGCGCCAATGAATTATCTGGTGCTCGTTGATCTCTAGTGATTTCTTAACAGATATTAATGAAAACATGAATAAAAGTATATTTAAGAAAATATCTACGTTTAACAGTTATAGATTAACTTACTGAGCTCGTTGTTCTAATCTTTCTAATAATTTATCTGAAGGTAAATGAGATTCTCTTTTGGATGGTGAAGGTAACAGAACGATCCGAAAACAAACTTCGACTTCCCACCTTTCTGTATCAGATAAAATACTAGTCAATTCTAGTCGACGACCATATGAACGCATAGAAAAATAGGCCCGACTAGCCACTACTAAAGCACGAATCCAGGACTCACCTCTAAGGTGAATAAGGAAAAAAAACAGAGAAATTTTTAAAAATATTTCTTTGGAGGCGTATAAGTCTTTGGTATCTTATCTTGGCAGAAATAGAAATCACTACTAGTATCTCCGATAGTCATCCAAATAAACAAACCGCTAAGGTTAACAAAATCTATATTTCGATGTAAGCTTTATCACAATTAATTTTTTTGCTAGCATTACTGTGAGTCGTAATTCCGTCTGGCATTGATGACCAAAATAACTAAGCAGCGAGACTATGATTCGGACGATGATAAAAATCAGAAATATTATTCAACTTGTTGAGTGTCCCAGACAGAAGACACTGAATTTTCAGTGTTCTGCTAAGTAAATGAAACAAGATAGTATTTTAGTAGACTAAAATCTGAACATTCATGTATCCCTACAACCAGAAAAATATAAACAAATTTAGGTTAAATATGAGATATATTTTAATAGATATAGATATAAATAATCGATTTCCCCCAAATGCTTTGATGTGGAAGGATCGGATTTTCTCCCGAATAAACTACATGCTTTGATCTGGGCATCCAGTAAGCACCCAGACCACAAACATTTGTTTAGATAGCTACGAAAAAATATTCTGCTCGTTAAACCTCACTAACTACTTAGATGATAATTGACGATACATTATTACATTTCACTATACGTCTTTCCCCTTTTATTTTCAATCTGTGTTTACTTTTATTTTTCTTCGACCTACTTGCCAGTTCGTTTCCGTTTTCAGTTCACGTCTATCGAAGCAGTTTCAATTTGCTAAATGGTCACCAATAAAGTCTCTGATATAGCTTTTCTAAAGCCACGCGTGCCCTTTGATGCAGATCGGGCAGCAGATAGGTTTGGCTATATTCGGAGTCTTGACATAGATGTATGCTGTATATGTGAAACTATATGCACAACTCTAAAGAAGTGACACCAATTCGTTCCGTATCTGGCCATCCAAAAAGTTTGTTCCTCGTGAGTTTATTCGGTAACCCCGTAGCATGAGCACCCACTTTTGTTGACATTTATGTCGCACTAAGCGTCATAGCAGATGAAGGGTTAACTGGTTACGCCTTCATTCGAAATATTTTATTTTATTTAAGATAAATACTGGTATAAGGAGATACCATTATAAATATGCGCCACATATACGAGAATGATATTGTGAAGAAGTATGAGGAGGGGGAGTATAATCAACATAAATAAGTGGGTGAAAACCGAGTGGATGATAGTAGTTTAATAGAGGAGAAACTGTTATATCCCGACGAGAATAGTGAATGGACTAACACTATACACATATTTTTATTATATAATGGTCAAGTAACTAAATTATGTATTTTCATATTCCCCTTATTATGAACTTTATTTTGACCTATAAACCATTATTATACGATTTACCAGTTTATTAATTACAGTCTTGCATAATCACAGCCACGTTTGGGTAGATCTTATACAAATGTTATTTTCTATTTTATGGTACGATGTGGTCTGTTTGGTAGGTATATAAACCAAGTATGTTTGAAATCTATGATTCATATTGCAGAGGCTGAGATTTGTGTTCTGAACTCGAAAGGCAGGACTAGACAAGAAGTACCGATACGGACTTTATACTACTCGTACGGGTTTATGTGTCATTGGCCCGGTCGATAAATCACCGTTCTCTAATTGGAGGTATCATCACGTTATATATTAATAGGACACACGGCCACAAGTTATAACAGAAATAAATAGGTCGAAAAAATTCAACCGGAAAAACGTTTTTCAGTCAAAGTTCTCACTTTTATGAAGTGTTAAGGAAAACTATAGCATGACCGTCACTGACTTTTATTGTGAGTCGTGTCTTTTAACGTTCAAGCAACTGAGTTGAAGCATCCCAATATGATGAATATTAGTGAATAATCGTTTACATACTGTTGGACTAGAAGGCTTAATTAAATCAAGAACTTGCCTGCACGGTGATGGTTCGGAATAGCAGATGGAACTTAATACCGATCAAATAGCCTTTTTAATAAAGCGCTTTTGACAGATACATTGGGGTTAGCTGGGAACGTAAATACGCAGGGTAGGGATCAGGGCACAGAGAAGTCACAATGGCCAATGGGGACCAAATTTTCGTAGGTCGGATAAAAGTGGCCGCCTTTTGCAGCTTGTGTGGATCACAACCAAATTTCAGCACAGTGTCAATATCTAACCAATCGTCCATCATATTAGTTTAATCGTAGTTTGGTCCGCAGTCAGGAGCATTAATGATAACTTCGTTTATGTCACCAACAACGACGTTGGCAGCTTTTTTATGCTATATAAATGTCATACCATGGACTTCGACATGGTGCGTTAATTTCCAACGCCGGGATTGCGTGGCGAAGGCAAAGGGGTTGTCAATTGATAACTTAGCTCTATGGTATCGAAGACAGGTGAAAATAACTGGCATTTGCGGGCTCACCACAACTCCTTGAGTGAGATCCCAGAGATCGCGCAACTCAATAGGTTGAGACAACTGTAGGTGTAGTTCATAATAAAAGTCAGTGGCTATCCTACTGTCGTTTATCACATTTCCCACACAAGTGAATTGAAGTCTCTTGCTTAACAGGGATCTTTCTAGGGTGCATTTTGAATAAACTGTAGTCCTCGTCATACCATATTTGTCTATTTATTGATTGACTGTATGACTCTTTTCTCCTTTGTTTTTTTAAAAACACCATCATTTTACTTGTGTGACGCATTTTTGGGTCAGTAACATGTCAGAATTTATGTAAGATAGAATGCTAGTAATAACCAGAAAAATGACGATGAAATTCGTTTGAACACCTGTTAAGTGAACCCTTTTACAGTTTCGATGTCAAGATATCAAAATTTTCTTAATAATGTGATCATAGCGATAGATCGTTCTATGTGATGCCTATATGGATTGACTGTTTTCTTTAAAACCGTAATGATATTTGATAAGAAAACTTAAGGCTTCTCTGGAAGAACAATGAATGAAGACCGTTTGTAATTGAGTGAATGAACGACAGATATTGAGATTTGGGTTAGATACTAATGACAAGAACACTAGATAATTAAGCACAACTAATTCACTTAAAGTATTAACGGACAACGACATCAGTCATCGGATTTTGATTGAAAGTGAAAATGTCATGATAAAGTTTTAGGAGATAAGAATGTTATGGATGCTGAGAAATAATGTGCCAATTATTAGCATGTTAAGTCTAATGATGTCCTTGAACGTTAAATGAACATTCCCTATTGGTCGTTATTTATTTCACTCGTTAAATATTGTTTTCTATTTTTATGGTACGATGTGGTCTGTTTGGTTAGTATATAAATAGAGTACGTCTGAAATATAATGATTCATAACTCAGAGGCTGTGACTTGCGTTCTAGACTCAACTGCCTGGGCTAGACAGGAGGCGGGACCAATCAGGGCACTAGGTTGTTCACTACGTATTTTCCGTGTCACTGAATCGATCGATAATATACGCTGAGCACCTAACCTGCAGTCCACACGTTACAACAAAGAAAAGAACATTTTTAAGAATCGCAAATTAATTCATCGAGACGTCAACTCAGCTGAAACAATGCAACTGAGGCATATGATTGAATCGTTTGTGGGGTAAATCGATTACTCTGGAGATTCCTTTTATCATGAACTTACATTTATAATGGGCATTAATAATCAGTTAAAAGCAATATCGTAATGGCTGAATGAAGTCCTGTGGTTTTCATTTGAATGATGGCTTAAAGATTACAAAACTTTAGTCTCAAATTGCTGATTAGCAGGTTTTTGACATGCTCCACCGACTTTGATTCGGGTTACCAGATAGTATTACTAATAGTCATACGAAAATTATTACTCAGTGTCGAGTGCACAAATTTTTACCTAGTTACCACTTTATATTCTTATATCGGTAATGAACTGGAAGAAAATGAGAAAGAAGCTATAACAAAGTATGGCAGTATTCACAGTATCTACACTACAGCTAACGATTTCGAACTATATAGCTCTGAGTCACCGACTACTCACTATGGGTGTCTTGTAGACTGTGATTATAAAATTTACCAGTTGTATACAGCCAACAATTTGAATCTATCTGCTGCTGGAAACCCCATTGACTTTCAAGGGTTTTGTTACATACAACAGATACTTTTGAGACATCGCTGATAAAAACTATAGGTAACAAGCTAGGTATACTTCGTAACGTTTTCTACAAATAACGAATTGATACAATGTATGCTTTCTCCAGGTATAGGAAAATGACTAGAAGAGAAGTTGTATACTTACCTCAATCTGCAGACGGAACCATTTCTTTTTTCATAATAAACAACAGTATCAGAATCTAGCAAATTTTTCGGTAATTCATTAAAAAGGGTTTTTTCAAAGAACAGTGGTAGCTCATCTTCAATATCTTGATTAATTTTCAATAGCCGGTTCATTTTCGCCTCATTAGGTAATTTATTGAATGACTGATTATCTTGACCACTGAATAAAAGGATCAAATCTGCCAAAGTAGGATGAGTGATCTCTTTTTGTTTGTCTTTATTTTCAAATACAGTTGGGCAAGTATGATTATCTGGAGACTTAAAACTATGATATAAAATTCCAGAAGATAAACTAAGATATAAAGGATATCTTAGTTTTTGCAGTAAGTTTAATTCTTTCGGTACATTTTGTGACTTGCACCGGAAAGGAACTAACAAACGAAACATAGTCTGACTAGCTTCTGTAACAAAAGAGAAAATCATTCGGACGAATAAAGTACATAAATAATGGGTGGCCTGAATTTACATCGACATAAATTAAACAAGTCCAGTCGATTCGCTACATATATGATACGTGAAGAAACAGAAAAATAAATACAGGACCTAGAACGAAAATGTTGGTCTACTCAGAGCTTAAAATTTAAAGACGGTTGAATATAATATTTCATGAAAACTGAGTTACAAACTTCGAACTCACATGAAATACTCATTTGGATAGTCTGACAACCTTTAGGACTATGTTGTTTAAAAACAAATATAAAAGTGTGTTTTTATATACTTACATATTACACCCCTATCTATCTGAAATCTTTGTCTTTTATCCAATCAACATGGTTCCTTGAAATAAAAAAGCGTTCAGATAGCTAAAAATACAACCACGTTAGTACGTATGGAATCGATACTAAGCTTGCAAGTAACAAACTGTTCTGACACCAAACATTCTAAAGAATAACTTCTCAAGTAGTCTTCTAGGTACCTAATCCTCATTTACTGTAGTTCTGAAGGGAGAAACTAACAACAGCAGTTCATTAAACCGTCATATAGTAAATATATACAATGATTAATAATTTTCCTACAGATAAGGTCAACTGATATCTAAAATAGAATAAGCTCAATTAATGGTGAATTCTGAAAAACTTGAGTAAACTACAGAATCAACTTGAAAAGCACACAAACCCAAAGTAGAAATATGTACATAAGTCTATGGCTTCAGGTGGTGTGAATAGTGAACTTGGTCTTATACAAAAGTTTAGACTAGAACGGACTGAAATACACAAGCTAAAACACTTCCTCGCAAGTAAAGAGCCAAACAATCTTTTATATACGTACGAATGCACATCTTACAAATACCTAGCACCGAAAGCTGATGTATTTTCGCGAATGTGGTGACCATTTGGGTAATTATTGAGAGCCATAAACAAAGATACATCACTAATCAAGCCAACTAGAAATAAAACAATACAATCCTATACCTTTTAATAATATTAAGACCATTATTTTAATCTTACACAATTATATGTACATTTTATGAACAGTTCTGTTCTTTACCCAGATGATATTCTACTCATTACATCATATCCACAAATCTAAAACATTTGAATCCAAGATTGTACTTCACTGATAAGAGACTTGAATAAAGTTTCTCTCAGCTTTTTTATTACCCAGTTACACCCAAGTGGATATATAGACAGAATGTCATGAAATATATAAGTATACAACTTTACAATTAATACTAAGACGTGAATTAAACAGAAAAGAAAAAAATAAAAGTAATACCACCTAAGAGGTGGAGAATCAAAAGAGAAAAGAATGAAACACAAAATGAACTCATTATAATCACTTAGTAAACCTAGTTCTCGCTTGACTCCAGAATAATCAGTTTTGCCTTGAAAGTCGCTTATTCTACGGAATCATACTGTTTCCTCAAAATAGCATCTATTTGAGAATGGACTGAAGGCATGTGAATAAGGAGGGAAAGACTTAAACCATGAAGCAAACTGTTGTGTTGTATTTGAATTAAACATAACACCCAAACCAGGCATATTTAAAAAACACGTAGATGTGGAACAGAAAATATTAATATTAACCAAACATGAAGATTAAAATTAGTATATTGACAGTACCACACAAACAAACTGATACTTCAAAATCCAGTAATACATGACCGAATTCTAGCCACTTTATTCTGCATAAAAGTCACACTTCAGGAGTGACATACTTTGGAAAACTATCCCTTTTAAGATAATTTGAAGAATTTACTACATATGTTTTGTGATTGCTGTACCTGCGGAATTTCATTCCTCAATCAATAACACGATATACTTCATGATATAAAGTCGACTTGAATATTTATGACCTTTCTTATTTGATCATTCTTAAATAATCGGTACTTATTTAAAAACATAATGAACTTTGGTTTACAACACATACTTTGCTGCAGCGTAAGCAACAATTACAGCGCCTTCCGAAACACAATACCTTTATGGAAAATAGTATAGATCGGCTTTGACTCTTTGTGTCCGCTACTTAATATTACGGTAAGGTTCTTACCTCTACAACAGCAGGTGTAGAACTGATCTAAACACTATATTTTTTCAATAATTTTTCTTGACTTTGAATTCTAATAATGTATTCGTTGATCTTTTTACCAGGTTGTGCTGGCAAATAAATCCCTAAAGTAAAAAGTCCCATAATTCTTCGACATTGGTTCTGGACTCGTTGGTTTGAACAGAAACACCTGGCTAGAGACTCTCACTCACGCATTCGCATCAGATCACGAGCGCGTACTGTGTGCTACACGTCCCATCTAACTATTATCTGGCTTAAATCAAACGCTTCTCAATAGTCTTCGATCATAGAGATGTTATGGACAAAAGTGCTGTCAAACCCTGAATATCTGTGGCATATTTAGTGGTGAGTCCGACGTGACATTGTACATCAATCGATGAACTGTGAGCCTGTTCATCGTTATAACGCTACTTATTACATTTTATTTTCCCACATATCAATATCATTTTCATATTCTCAGATTTTTTCATTCGAATACTTGTGGAATTTATCCTCATTATGACAAAACATTCACTCAAACTGATAAAGACTAAAACGTCTACGCCCTTCAACTTTCAACTCGTACTATTGTCACCTGATAATATCGAAGTCTGATTCTGCTACGCAAAAGATGGCTTCCGCAAGCACGGAGTGGTGGACTCACGTGCTCAATCCATTGCAGTGGAGAGGCAATTATTCACGATTTTAACAGGAAAATTACACCTAGTATGTTTAGTAGTGATGTTTCTGAACCTTATGGTACATTGAAAGAAGCCATACTTAAAGGAAAAGACCTGACTGATCGGCAAAGGTTAAACCAGACCCTCTATAACACTGAACTGAAACATGGCTCAGCGACGAAAATGTTGTTACGTGTTCGGGAGGTCAGTCGTAGAGTGACATTTGATGAGGGCCATTTTAGACAAGAATACTAAAGTTTCTGTTTATAAAACTCCACTTCCTAGTTGTAGGTTATACTCAGTCACAGCTAAACGTATAATTGATGTGTACTTCAGCCAGACACTCTCCAAGTCTACCAAACTTTGCAAAACGCGACAAAAATTACCATGCGTAACCATACTTGTTGCAAACCACTTTATGACTGCAGGACCATATGTGTTCTAGAAAGCACGCCGACTAAGTCTTCAAAGGCTGAGGTTGGCTAAACGTGAATTTGAGTGCATGATAGACTTTAAATATAGGCATTTTCTCCGCACGCAATATCTAAAACGGACGGTAACAATTGGCGGCCAAATGGTGATCATCGGCGACTGAATATGAAAATCACTCACTATCGTCAATCTCTGCCACACATCCACTGCCTAACAGGTATCTTGGAAGGTAGAACTGTTTGCTCGAAAATCGATCTTAGTGAAGTATGTTACCGAATTCCTGTGGCTGCATACCACACTTTTAAGACCTCTGTCATCTAACCCGTCAACATTTACAATGTTTTTCGCATACCTTTCGGTTTAAGAAATGCTGCACAAAATTTTCAGTGGTCCGTTAACGACGAATTCAGGGGTTTCAACTTTGTGCGTGCCTACGTTGATGAGTGCGTAACAACTTGAATTGATTGGTTAGAAATTAACCGAAAACATCTTAGTAGTGTAAAAACATTGTAGCTCAAGTACTCATTCACCTCCGCATTTTCTATGGGCATCGTATTTGATATTATTTTGTATTGAAGGGTGAAGATTTTTATGTGTTAAAAGACAAACGTGAGCTTTAACCGTCCTGTTCCACAACCAAAAAGGACCTATTCACTACTTGTCCGTTTCTTCTATCGATATAACGATGAGTACTCGCCAGCACAAAATATGTTTTACAGCAAGTCCTGGCAGAGAATCTCGTCTACAGCATCTCGACTTTGTTATCAAGTTGGTAATCACGAAGGACTATCTGGAATTTATCAAACTCACGATTGATACTCAAGGTATTCTTCCTCTGAGAACTAAGGTGACGGCCATTCTGGAATACTCAGAACTGATCACAGCCAAGTAATTAAAGACGATCAACGGCCTGGTAAAGTTTCGTCAATGGTTCATACCGGACAGCACTTCTCTAACGAAACCCTTAACAAACCAAGTTCATGGAAATAAGAAAATCATTAATTAGAATGACAACGCAATAAAAGCAGTGCGACGGTTAAGAAAGTAATCACCAGAGCAACTGCTCTCGCTTTCCAGGACATCGTACACATCTATAAGTAATTCTGTAAACGCATCCGACTCAACATTCGAAGGGGTTTCAAACAGTGGATAAACAACGTCAGATAACCTTCGGAATTCTTTACGAAAAGGTTGCAAGACATTGAATCGAAGTATACAATTTTTGTCAGAGAACTCTCAGCTATGTATCACACTGCACAGCACTCTCAATACAGTCAAAGTGCGAGAATTCACTATGTTTACCGACGATAAACCTATCATTTTCTCTATTAGCTTGTCTTAAGACAAGCACTCCCTTGGAGACCTTTGACAACTAGACTACATTTCGTAGTTTACTTCAGATATGCAAATTACTCTTAGTGCAAACAACTTAGGGACAGACGCTTTATCCCGGATAACGACATAAAACAGATTCTGAAGGAGCAAAATTCCCAAACATGATGAGACTAAAAAGTAGACAATGATCTTCAGCAGGATTTGCATTCTGCAGCTCGGAAACTACCAGTCAAACATACGAACGAGTGAGGAAACTTTACTTTGTGACACACCTACAGTTAGTGATCGTCCAATCGTGCCGAAACAATATCGACGCAAAGCCTTCAATACATTGTACGAAATATCTGATCCACGTGTTTGAACTACCATAACGCTCACAACAATGATTTTTACTGCCTAATATGATTGAAGACGTGAGAGAGTAGCATACTCCTGTGTAATTTTCGGAAATCTCGAGTGTTTAGGCTCAACGAATGTTCATTAGGTTCTTTTGCAACCCATCACGCTCGTTTCGATCATTCTTTGGCAGTACTCCTATGAGATCCAAGTGGATACTTTTACTTTCCAAAGTGCGTGAACCGTTTCATATGATAGGGAGAAGAAATACCTATCAAGGATAGTACTGCTGGAACAAACGCCCTCAATTTCGTCAAGTGACTACCACTACTACACAGACCGTGGACGCCATTTCGAAGTTGGACTTTTCCGTTGTTTTGCTACACTAATAAGAACCATATGATTCTGAACAATCGCCTACCACCCAACAAATAATGGTTTGATAGAACGATCTCACGACAGTCAAAAGCTTCACTCTAAGCTACAAATGTACATTGTAGTCTGACGCTCTTACACTCATGTTACTTCATATTTGCAATGCAATGAAAGCTGACGTTGGTTGCAACAAAGTACAACTCATTTACAGAATGACTCTTCGACTTCCAGGCGGATTTGTTCATCCTTCATCATCTCCGCTAAATTTGCATCCACAATTCTACATGGGCGTTCTTACAAACACTATGCATTCAGTTAAACGTGTTTCTACTAGATCACAGTCAACTGACGTTCCGTCAAACTCGACTTACGATTGAGAGCATACGTTCTGGCAAACCACTGCTCGTTACGACGACCACTCGAAACGCAATACGAGAGAGACACTTCAAAGTTTGTCACTTCAAACATCGTGATTATACCATAGACTAGAATGGAACTAACGACAACATCAACACTGACAGTTTTAAAGTCTTTTACTTAGAAGGAAACACCGATTATGTCGACTTTCCATCTGAATAATTGAACGACACCAGTCTCAAAACCGTGATCCCATCGCTGGTAACCAATGACCACGACATAACTTCTCTGGTATCTGATAACTGACCATGAACAACGCGCTCCGGATGAACTACACGGTCCCGAGAACACTTAAACGACTATTGCATGTAGGACATCGCTTAAATTTTCATTTTATCTTATTTTATGCTCACCAATATTATTTGGTTGTACTCTCGGCTTTTTTAATACTAATGTGTCAAAGCAATTGTTTTTTCTCCGGTATTCTTTTCTGTAACTCCGCCTGTAGCTCTTCTAGAGTTAATGCCGGTCCCAAGCCCGGGTAAAGGAGGAAGGTTGGGCATGGAGTTAGCGACTCTAGCCCGTAGAAAACTAACTCGCTAAAAAATGGTTCAAACCATTTAAACTCTGTCCTGGGAGTTAGAAGGTTTTTATTTAGAAGAAATATGATGCTTCATGATGAAAGCCGAGCTCCTTCGGAAGCCACGAGGCCGGTGTCTCTTCTAACAACCAGAACAACAGTTTTTATAGGTACCTGGAACGTCTGGACAATGTGGGGGAACCGACAAGATCAGTCAAATAGCAACGGAAATGAGGAGATACAACTTGATAGTACTGGGAATCAGCGAAACCCATTGGACACAAGCTGGGCAGAAAAGGCTAAATACGGGAGAGATGCTGCTGAATTCCAGTTATGAAGAGGAAAATGCTCCACAAACTCAGGGATTTGCTCTTATGCTGTAGAAAATAGCACGAAATGCACTTGTAGGATGAAAACCTCGCGGATCCAGAATCATCAAAACATCATTGAAAACAAATAATCAAACTGCATCACGAAGCAAGCCCTTACTTGGAATACTGAAGGGAAGCGGCAAAGAGGAAGTTCAAATAACACATTGCGTCTGGAAATAGAAACAAACGTGAAAAAGATGAATAACAATTGGAAAGAGCTGGAAACGATTGCCCAGGACAGGATTGGATGGCGAAGGCTGGTGAGCGGCTTATGCTCTTTCACGAGGAGTAATAGGCGTAAGGAAAAAATGCTTTTCTGTGTGTGTTGTATTGCAACACATGGCCGCTAATATTAGAAAAAGATGATCATATGCCGCTGAACATATCGACCTATCAAACAAGTGTTTACCAACGGTAAGCTAGTTGTATTTAAACTTCTGGCTGGCCACGCTT